TATATATATATATATATATATATATATATATATATATATATATATATATATATATATATATATATATATATATATATATATATATATATATATATATATATATATATATATATATACATGTATATATATATATATATATTATACTGACGTATATCGTATACAGGGTGCATGTGTCGGCGATATATCTTATACAGTATGCATGTATGTGTTCTGCATTACATACACGTGCATACGTATAAGCTATTGTGAAATTCCTATTGCTAAGCACCGATTGCGTATATGGTTGGCCATGTGTACATAACAGTATCCTTATAGTGCATGGAGTGTAATGTAGCTATCTATGTCCCTACTAAGTCACGATGGGGGCTGTGTGGCTTATTCTGTATACTAACAGGTAGCGGTAAGACACTCGCATACCTGGTGCCGCTGATCAATCGGCTGAGAGACGAGGAGATGAAGTTCGGAACTACCAATAGAAACAACAGGCCTCGCGCGGTCGTCATGCTGCCCAGTACGGAGCTCGCAATTCAGGTACACATCGGCTGAGATGCGTTCAAACGTGTTGGGCATATAGTTAAAAGTGGTCGATATACAGACGAATGCAATATGAGCACACACGACGTGGCTACGAACGTAATGTATAGTACAGAACAGTTTTCTTTCAAGCAGGCCGTTAAGAAAACAGGTACCAACTTATGTGCCCGTAGGATTTTATATTCGTTTTTGGCACTCGATTACTTCACTACAGCTATCAACATTTGTCCAAAACGTAATGTATAATATAGAATAGGGTACACTCATGCAGGCCGTTAAGAAAACAGGCACCAGCTTATGTGCCCGTAGGATTTTATATTTGTTCTCGGCACACGATTACTTTACTTTACTACGGCTATCAACGTTTTTCCAAAACACGTTCGGAGCGCTGGGTTGCTGGGAAATAAACCAGGGGCAATATCGAGCACAGACTGATCCTGACGCACCTCTCTTCATGCAGTATCAGGACACCCTTACACACACATGGCCATCTGTTTAGTTGTTTAAGCCTGCCCTAATCCTCAATCAACTAGCAAGCATACAGCACCCACACCCACCGAACACTACAGTGCGAACGGTTCTTGATGCGGCGAGTATTGATCTTCCCACACTTGTGTTGTTTAACACTTGTGTTGTTTAGGTGCATGATGTCTTGAAGGAATTGTGTCACACAGCCCGATTAGGCGTGAAAGGGCTGTACGGTGGTTGTAAGCAGAAGCGAATCGACGAAGCACTCGACGCGGGGGGCGTGGATGTTCTGGTCACCACACCTGGTTTGTTGCAGGTGTGTGTTGGATATGTACATCATGTTTCGATATAT